ATCCCTGACTTCAACATATACCACAAAGCTATAGTAATAAAAACATGTGGTAATGGCAGAAAAACAGACATACAGATCAATGGATCAGAATTGAAAGCCCAGAAATAAAACTACACATCTACGGACAGCTAATCTTTGACAAAGGAGCCAAGAACACACAACAGAGATAGGGAAGTCTCTTCAATAAGCTGTGTTGGGAAACTAGACAGCTACATGCAAAAGAATGAAAGTAAACCATTATCTTACACCATACACAAAAATTACCTCAAAATGGCTTAAAGACTTGAAGGTATGACATGAAACCATAAAACTCCTGGAAGAAAATATAGGAAGTACACTCTTTGACATTAGTCTTAGCAGTATCTTTTCAAATACCATGTCTACTCAGGCAAGTGAAAGAAAAGAAAAACTAAACAAATGGGACTACATCAGACTAAAAACCTTCTGAAAGGCAAAGGGAACCAGAAACAAAAGAAAAAGACTACCCAAGAACTGTGAGAAAATATTTTCAAATCCTTATCTGACAAGGAGTTAATTTCCAAAATATATAAAGGACTCATACAACTCAACAACAAAAAAATTAATTACCCAATCAAAAAATGACCAAAGGATCTGAACAGATATTTTTCCAAAAGATGATATACAGATGACCAACAGGCACATGAAAAGGTGTTCAACATCACTAATCATTAGGGAAATACAAATCAAAACTACAATGAGATATCACCTTACACCTGTCAGAATGGCTATAATTACCAAGACCAAAAAGAACAAGTGAGGAATAGGATGTGGAGAAAATGGAACCCTCAAACACTGCTGGTGGGAATGCAACTGGTGTACCCATTATGGAAAACAGTCTGGATATTTCTCAAAAAAATAAAAATACCATATTATCCAGCTATCCCACTACTGGGTATTTATCCAAAGAATTTGAAATCAACAATGCAAAGAGATTTATGCACCCACATGTTCACTGCAGCATTTTTACATTAGCCAAGATGTGGAAGCAACCCAAGTATATTCTACGGATGAATGGATAAAGAAGATGTGGTATGTATGTATGTATGTGTGTGTGTATATATATATATATATATATATATAATGGATACAACTCAACCATAAAAAAGAGAAAATTGTCCCATTTGAAAAAACATAGATGGAGCTCGAGGCTATGATGTTAAGCGAAATAAGCCAGACAGAGAAAGACAGACGCTGTATGATTTCACTAATATGTGGAAGATAAACAAACACATGGACAAAGAGAACAGATTAGTGTTTATCAGAGGGGAAGGGGGTTGGGGGAGGGCAAAAGGGGTAAAGGGGTGCATGTATATGGTGATGGATAAAATCTAGAGTATTGGTGGTGAGCATGGTGCAGTCTATACAGAAACTGATATATAATAATGTACACCTGAAATTTACACAATGTTATAAGCCAATATGAAATCAATAAAATAATTTTAAAAAAAGAATAACTCATCCCAAATAGCCAACTAGGCTTTCCCAAAGAAGACAACTGCATAAGCTATAGCCCGTCAAATAATGTCTTTGCTTTGCTTCAGTGTCTTCTGTATAAAATCCAATGGCAGGACTTGAAGAACAGAAGGGCAGAAGAGGGGATGTGACTGCTTTTGGTTTGGGAGGCTTCTGAGCTCCCCTACAGCTAAGCCAGCTCCTGGATCCACAGCATATTTATTACAGCACGTTATATAGGCAGACCCTACAACTTTAAGCCCACTATATCACACATTCACAGAATTAGACTCTTTTAAAGATAACAGTAATAGAGCAGGTGTATATGCTGACACATTATAAAAGAAAGAGAAAATTAGATGATGCAAGAAGAGAGGAGAATTTAATATTTTACTGCAGTGAATCCTTCACTAGGAATGAAGGGATGGGCTCTGGAGCTCAAAGGGAGGGAACCAGCTCTAGAGAAGAACCAGATGGTCCATTCACCATAACAGGAGGGAAAGCCGAGGGTGGAGATGCAGAAGCTGGTAGGTGGAGAGATGTGGATGCTTCTGATTGCAACCCCACAGATCTCTCAGTGAAACAGGAAGCTGAGAATCAGGATGAGGACAGAGGTGGAAGGGGTTTCTGAAGAGAGGAAAAAGAGAGAGCAAATGGACTTGGGAAAGGTAGCATGACTACCAGGCAGCATTGACGAGCCACGTGAAGTCCATGGTTATGAATCTAAGATAAGAGGAGTCAGCTCAGTTCAGCTGCCTGGGTGCAGGCACAGAGCAGGTGAAGCTTGTTTTTGATCAGTGTTAAAAGGTTTTGCCAAGTGGGTGCAATGAAGAGAGAGCAAACCAAGGGCATTAAGAAGGCAAGAAAGTGATTATTATGATTGACCATGGAATTGAACCTGGATGAGGAGGGAAGAGAAGACAAGAAGGAGGTAGGAGGACAGAGATTCAGATCCTGGCCAATTAAAGTGTTATTGGACTTGAGGGACTAGAAATAGAGAGCTAGAAAAATAGGAGACAGTGGTCAGAGAATTACTTGAAATTGAGACTGTAGGAGATGGATCGGAATGCCCAGACTGGAATGTGCCCATAGGAAGGAGCTGCTGAGATTGTGTGAAGGACGAGATTATTAGAGGAGGAACAGGAGGCCAGGGTTGAGGAAAGATGAGCTATGCGAATATGAAGTCATTAATTATTAAGACAGAGGATTGTTGGACAGACAGTGCCCAATGCACTGACATCCTCAAGGAAGGGGGATTAGTAACAGGGGTCTGTAGATGCCACCAACAAAAAGGGGCATAGGTGGAAAGTCTGATGGCGTGAGGTTCAAAGCAGAAGTAGAGTCGACATGTCCTGTAGGAAGTGGAATTAAAGCTCTTCCCAATTCTCACTATCCTAAAATAAAATGTTAATTTCTGTTTGTTAATCGGCTTCCAGGAGAATTTTACAAAGGTTACATTTCACTCGAGTATGTTATCTAATTACCGCAAAAAGAAAAATGTGTAGAGGCTCATCACAGATTTTGTAAATATAATTGTCAGTTTTTCATGCCCTAAGACTGAAAAATGTCTTCTAACAACAGACTGGACACACAACATCAACACAAGATGCCTTTGTTAGGAAAGAAAAATTCTTCAAAAGAGCAGAATTGGTTTAAAAACTTAACCGGCAAATGGTGAAAAACGAATATATGACTTTGCACCAAGTAAGTTTATATGAAAGTAGCACGCCTTCTGTGTTGACTCTGGCTAGTGTATTTAGAAGTGTGGAAGTGACAAGGTGACCAGGAGACCCTATGTCCAGTGGGAGCCGACTTGGCTTCACAGGGAGAAAATTTAGAGTCAATGAAGCAGATTTGTAAAGATGTTGCTCTCTATGCATATCAATTTTCCCCAGGGTGGCAGGGTCTTTAGGCTCGTGTTCTTAAAGAACAGCTGCCATATTACAGAGTTACTATTACCAGATTTTAATTGGGGATGGTAGTAAGCTGAATAATGGCTCCCAAAGATATCCATGTCCTAATCATCAGAATCTGTGAGCGTCACCTTATATGTCAAAAGGACTTTTCCCATGTGACTAAATGGAGGATCTTGAGATGGGGAGATTATCCTGGATCAACTGGGTGGGCCCTTAAAGTAACCACAAGTGTCCTTAGAAGAATGAGTCAAGAAGGTCAAAGGAGAGAGAAAAAGATGGTTAGATGGCAGCAGAGGTTGGTCAGATGCACTTTGAAGATGGGCAAGGGGTCACAAGGCAAGGAATATGGGCCAACTCTAGAAGCCAGAAAAGGCAAGGAAATGAATTTTCTTCTGGAACCTCCAGAGGAGTCAGCCCTGCAGACACCTTGATTTTACCCCTGTAAGACTCATTCTAGACTTCTGACCTCCAGAACTCTAAGAGAATAAATCTGTGTTTTTTTAAGACACTAAGTGTTTGGTAATTTGTTCCAGCTGCCCTAGGAAACTAACACAGGGACAATTAAGACCACATCCTCAAACTCGGCACTTATGAAATTTCTTTGCATAGGATACCCTGAGATACCATAGTCCTCTCTGGGATGTTTCTGGTAGAGCCAGTGGGGAAGGCCCTCTTCCTTTTGCCTTGGCAGTTACAGGGGAAGGATACAAATTTGGATGGTGTGTGGCCATCGTCCTCAGCTGCAGTGGGAGACAATGAGGCTAATGGGCAAGGGGAAGCAGTGATGGGAGATGGACAGTGTGTGTGTGTGTGTGTGTGTGTCTGTGTGTGTGAGAAAGACAGACAGACAGAAAGAGACAGAGAGACAGAGATACAGAAAGAAAGCATCAGTTCTTATCCTTAAGTCTCTGGTTCATGTGATTCCTCCTGTGGTTTTGTGAGCTCTCCCAGTGTCCTTCCTTCCCAGTTACAAGAACCAATAAATCCGATTTCCTATTTTTTGACTTACACTAGTCTCATTCCCAGCCAAAAGGGCCCTAACCAATTCCACAGAGATCTCCTATGTGGCTCAGCAGGGAATTTGGACACTGTGGCCACCCCCCTGGCTGTACCAGGGCAGAGCTCTCTGACTTATTTCACTTTGCATAATGCCCTCAAGGTCCATCCACATTGTTGCAAAGATTTCATTCTTTTTTATGGCTGAATAACATCCCATTGTACACACACACACACACACACACACACATATATATATACATACACACATATTATCTCTAGCCCTTCATCCATCAATGGACACGTAGGTAGTTTCCATATCTTGGCTACTGTAAATGATGCTGCAGTGAACATGGGGATATATATATCTTTTTGAATTAGTGTTCTTATTTTCCTCAGATAAATACCCAGAAGTGGAATTGCTGGATCATGTGGTAGTTCTGTTTTTAAATTTTTGAGGAAACTCCATACAGTTTTCCATTGTGGTTTTACCAATTTACATTCCCACCCACAGTGCAGAGAGTTCTCCTTACATCCTGGTTTCTGTGGCACCCTTCAGGGACTCTCCTGAGGAATCTTGGAAGCAGAGGGTAAGTTGGCACGTTCCCACCTCACCTTTCCTATGATGTTCCGGTCTGGGCCAGAAGGGGAGGTACCGGGTATAGGAGGAAGTGCAGAACTTTGTGCCAATCCCACAGGGGAGGCCGTAGACCTCTGACACCTTCGCAGTCTCCTCAGACTCCTCGTGGATTGGATCCCATGTCAGGAGGCCTCTCTCCTGCGGACTTCCTAATAGGAGACAGTGAGCAGTCAGGACTGGGCCCTGATGGAGCTGGGCAGAGGTGGTCTGGAGGGAGCCTCCGGCACCCCCTGAAGGCACTCATGAGGTCTCCTGTCAGTGCCCTCCACCTGCCAAAGGCTTCCTCCTCCTCCTCCAAGCCCATCTCAAGAATCGCAGGTCAGCTCATCAGGCATCACCGGAGCACCCCCTGTGGGGCTGATGTGGTCCAGAGCTCCGGGGCACAACCTTATATGAAACACCATCCTTTCCTCATCTTCAGGAGTGGGCCTTTCCACATTTAATGTTTCTGAAATGAAGATACATTTTACACGTGGTAGAGAGAAGAAATGTGGAAAACAGAATACCATGAGGCAGGGGCTATCCTAGAGGGCCTGTCAAGAGGCCATAGGAGGATCAAGAAGGAAGGACTGAAAGCCGTCAGTGACGGCAGCTCTGCACTCTTCACTTTCAATGTCCTCAGCACTCATAGACTCATTTGGCTCCTCATCACAGTTATTAACCTGAGTTGTCATTGTCTGTTTTCTTGTCCCTCTCTCCTATTCGCCCTGGGTCTCTGGGAGGCAGGGGCATGTCTTTCTGCTCTTTGTGTTCTCGGTACATGCCATATGGAATACAGCAAGTGCTCAACGGGTTTTTATTGAATATATGAGTGAATGAATCATAAAATGAATGAATACTTGTGTTCCCTCCCTCGCCAACTAGACTGCAGGCTCTGGGGATGGGCTTGTGTCTTTTTCTTTTTTCTTCCAGTGTATTTTGCAGCTTAAGACCCTGTTATTGGCTGAATCTTAATCCCCCAAAGTCATATGTTGATGCCTTAACCCCTCCATACTTCAGAATGTGACTGTGTGTGGAGATAGGACCTTGAAAGAGGTGACTAAGTTAAAGATGAGGTCTTCAGGATGGGCCCTAATCTAATCTGACTGGCATCTTTCTAAGAAGAGATTAGAATACGAGAGAGACACCATGGGTGCACACACACACAGAAGAAAAGGGATGTGAGGACACAGCAAGATGATGGCCATCTACAAGGAAGGAGAGAGGTGTCAGAAGAAACCAACTCTGCCAACACCTTCATCGCAGACTTATAGCCTTCAGACTGTGAGAAAATACATTTCAGTTGTTCAAGCCCCCCAGTCTGTGGTATTTTGTTATGGCAACCCTAGAAACCTCATACAGGCCCCTATGCCCCACTCTGACCCATGGTCTCCTCAAGGTAGCCTGTGGCCAGCGTGGCATGGTAATCAGGGGCAGAGAAGCAATGTGAGTGGCCCAAATGCTCACCATCTACCCAAACTACTCGCTTATAGAGTGAAAGTGAGCCTTACCTGGGATGGTGTTGTCCAGTAGAAAGCCCAGAAATCCGCCTACAAACATGTCCGTGGTCAGCAGCACCAGGATGACCTGGTCCAGTTGGAGAATCCCTAGAGTGGAGACAAAAGTGATGGGGATTCCCAGGGACAAAGGACCCCACTGGCTCTGCCCTTGGAGTGGTCACAGTCTAGAGGAGGGAGAATCACCTGTTTGGAGCATCTCAGGGTTCTTGTTCACCCAGTTGGGAATGGTAAGCCCACAGAAGATGGAGAAGCCAAAGATGAAAATGTTCCTGGACGAGTTCATGTCCACGTACTGCAGGAGAGAGGCCCCCGTGGCAGCCCACAACCATCAGCACCTGTACTGCATATCAGTCTAATATCCTCAAATGCCCCCTCCCCTCCCACCACTACCAGAGGTGGGGAGGAAGGCTGGACTCAGAGTGACATATGTTCTCATTGGGCAAGGCAGGCCCCAATTCCCACTTGACCTTGGGAGTTGAGTGGTTTAGATAATCCAATTCAAGCTGATGCAATTTCTGTTTTTCAGAAGTTTGGATGCTTCTGGCTATTTATTTCTTTCATTTGGGGGCCAGTGTGGTTCCAGGGACCAAGGATCTCCTCCTCCTGCTCCTCCCCTGCCCTAGCCCTGTTCCATTCACCTCAGTCCCCATGGGCTTCTTTCAGGGGATGCAAGGCTGCTGCTTTTCCAAAGGTGCCTCGCCTCACCTGCAGACTGGAAATCCCCACAGCAGCGATGACCCCGAACATCACCAGGAACATGCCTCCAATCACAGGTGGTGGGATAGTGGCAAATGCAGCCCCAATCTTCCCAAATACTCCCAACACTAGTAGTATACAGCCTGCAGCGACAATCACCATTCTGCTCCCCACCTGCAGTGCTCAAGGAAATGGGAGACAAGGAGCTCAGCACCAGCCAGGCCACATGCCTTAAAGGCCTCTGCCCTGCTCCCAGGGCACCTGGAATATCACTCCAGTGGACTTGCAGGAACAGCATTGCCTAACCCCAAAATGGCCCCCCTCTGCTCCCTCACGGTTTGGGAAAGGATGAGGATGTGACCTTAGATCAAGGCCGCTGCCCCTCACCTCTCCATTCTGCTGCTCTCACACTTGTCTTCAAGTCCTGACTCAAATGCTCCTCCTCTAAGAAGCCTTTACAGCAAGGCAAGAAGTCTCTCTTGGGAGGCAGTGGCCCAGTGCTTAAGAATGAAGGTGTCAGAGTCAATCCCAGCTCTGCCTCTAACTAGCTGTGTGACTTTGTGTACATTACCTAACCTCTCCAAATGTCAGCCTCCAAATTTACCAAATGAGATTAGTTATACTTACTTCAGAAACTCATTCTATGAGGCCAGCATTACCCTGAGACCAAAGCCAGACAAGGACACTACAAGAAAAGAAAACTACAGGCCAATATCCTTGATGAATATAGATGCAAAAATTCTCAACAAAATATTAGCAAACTGAATTCAACAGCACATTAAAAGTATACACCATGATCAAGTGGAATTATTCCAAGGATGCAAACATGGTTCAACATCTGCAAATCAATCAATGTGATACACCATACTAATAGAAAGAGAGATAAAAATCATGTGATCATCTCAACAGATGCAGAAAAAGCACTGGACAAAATTCCACATTCTTTCCAGATAAAAACTCTCAACAAATTGGGTATGGAAGGAATATACCCCAACACAATAAAGGCCATATATGACAAACCCACAGCTAACATCATACTCAACAGTAAAAGGTTGACAGCTTTTCCTCTGATCAGCAACAAGACAAGGGTGCCCACTTTCAGTACACCTACTCAACTTAAGAGTGCAGCACAGTACTGGAATTCCCAGCTAGAGCAATCAGGTAAGATAAAGAAATAAAAGGCATCCAAATCAGAAGGAAAAAGTAAAATTGTCTTTATTTCCAAATGGTATCATCCTATGTGTAGAAAATGTGTAAGGAAGACTCAACCAAGTAACTGTTAGAACTAATCAAAAACCCAGTAAAGTTTCAGGTGGAAAAACCAACCTACAGAAATCAGTTGCATTTCTGTACACTAACAACAAAACATCTGAGAAAGAAATAAAGAAAACAGTCCTCTCACAATGGCATTAAAAACAATAAAACACATAGGAATAAAAATTTGAATAAGGAAATGAAAGATCTGTACACTACTATGAGATTCTGATAAAGAAATTGAAGAAGATAGAAATAAATGGAAAGATAGTCCATGTTCATGGATGTGAAGAATTAATATTGTCAAAATGCCAAAACTATCCAAAGCCTTCTATAGATTAAATGCAATCCCTATCACAATTCCAATGGCATTTTCCAGAGAAATAGAAAAAGCAATCCTAAAGTTCATAAGTAATCACAGAAGACCCTGAATAGCCAAAGCAATCCTGAGAAAGAAGAATAAAGCTAAAGGCCTCACAATTCCTCATTTCAAACTATACTACAAAGCTGTAGTAATGAAAACAGTAGGGTACTGGCATAAAAATAAACACATAGCCCAATGGAACAGAATGAAGCACCAACAAATCACCCCTGCATATACATTCAACTAATATTTGACAAAGGAGCCAAGAAAACTCAATGGGGAAAGGAGAGTCTTCTCAGTAAATGGTATTGGCAAAATGGATAACCACATGCAGGAAAATGAAATTGGATCCCTATCTTACACCACTCACAAAATTTAACTTGAAATAGATTAAGACTTGAATGTAAGACCTGAAATCATAAAACTCCTAGAAGAAAACATAGGAAGAAAGCCCCTTGACATTGGTCTTGGTAGTGATTTTGTGGATGTGATACCAAAAGCACAAGGAACAAAAGTGAAAATCAAGAAGTGGGACTACATCAAACTAAAAAGCTTCTGCACAGCAAAAGAGACAATCAACAAAATGAAAAGACAATCTATGGAATGGGAAAAAATACTTTCAAACTATATATGAGATAAGGGTTTAATATCCAAACGTATAAAGACCTCATACAACTCAATAATAACAAAAAATGATAAATGATTTTAAAATGGACATTTTTCCAAAGAAGATATACAAATGACCAGCAGGTACATGAAAAGATGCTCAACATCACTAATCATCAGGGAAATGCAAATCAAAACTGCAATGAGATATTATCTCACACATGTTAGATTGGTTATCAACAAAAAGACAACATGATTAGGATGTGGAGAAAAGGGAACCCTTGTGCACTCTTGGTGGGAATGTAAATTCATGCAGCCATTGTGGAAAACAGTATGAAGGTTCCTTAAAAATTTAAAATAGAACTACCGTATGACCCAGCAATACTACTTCTGGGTATTTATCTGAAGAAAATGAAAACACTAACTGGAAAAGATATATGCACCCCCATGTTCATTGTAGCATTCTCGACAATAGCCAAGATATGGACAACCTAATTGTCCATCAATGGATGAATGGATAAAGAAAATGTGTTACATATATACAGTGGAATATTATTCAGCCATAATATAAGAAGGAAATCTTGCCATTTGTGACAACATGAATGAACCTTGAGGGCATTATGCTCAGTGAAAGAAGTCAGACAGAGAAAGACAAATACTACATGATATCATTTATATGTGGAATATAAAAAAGCTACACTTGTAGAAATAGAGAGTAGAATGGTGGTTACCAGGGGATATGGGGTGGGGGATAGGAGGAAATGTTTTCCAAAGAGTACAACTTCCAGTTAGAAGATGAATAAGTTCTGGGGACCTAACGTATGGCATTGTGATTCTAGTTAACAATACTGTATTATATACTTGAGAGTTCCTGAGAGTACATCTTAAATGTTCTCACCACAAAAAAGAAGTGGTAATTAGGTAATGTGATGGAGGCATCAGCTAAAGGTAGTCATCATATGGCAGTATGTAAGTGTACCAAATAAACATATTGCACACCTTAAACTTGCACAATGTTGTATGTCAAGTATATCTCAATACAGCTCGGGGGGATAAAAGGAAAATCAGTGCACCTAGAGCACAGTGACACTGGGAGCGAGAGGAGACAGCACGGAGAGCAAGGCAAAGCCTCTGTTATGAAGGGCTTTAAGGGCCAGAGAAAGGAGTTAGAATAAAATCCAAAGACAGGGCAGAAGAAAACGTGGAACATATCTACAATGGAATGTTAGCGAGCCTTAAAAAGGAAGGAAATTCTGACACATGCCACAACATAGATGAACACTGACGACATTATGCTAAGCGAAATAAGCCAGACACAAAAAGCCAGACACTGTATGATTCCACTTATATGAGGTACCTACAGCAGTCAAATTCATAGAAACAAACTAGAATGGTGGTTGACCGGCTGGGGGAGGGGAATACGGAGTTGTTTAACTGGTTCAGAGTTCAGATGAAAAGAGCTCTGGAGATTGGCTGCACAACAATTTTTAATGTACGTAACTCTACTGAACCGTACACTTAGGAGTTGTTACCATGGTAACTTGTGTTATGTGTACTTTACCGCAATTAAAAATGAAAAATCCAAAGACAAAGGAAACTCTCAGTAGGGTGTGTTAAGCAGGGTGGTGACATGACGTGATTTACATTTCAGAGAGTTCCCTCTATAAAAGTCACTTCATTATTGTTAATTGATACATTCCTCAGTTAAGACAAACTAGATTTTCTCAACAAGCAATTATTATGGAAAATGTGTAAATTATGATTTCTCCTTAATCTCTATGGGGGTTCACTTAGGATACAAAACCGAGACGAGGCCCCCTCCCATGGTATTATATAGCATTAACTGGTCCTATCAAGAATCTTACAGGTGAGATTTTTCCTAGTTCGTTTCTCCAGAGGATTGATTGTCCCACTAATGTCACTACTGATTGCTATTACCTGGTTGTGTGGAGTTTTTCGAGTAGCTAGTAGTTTGGGAATGCTAAGGAAGTACAGTTCACCCTCTTATGGCAGATCTTAAAATAAATTTCTACAAAGGTTAAAAAAATGAAACAAAACACTCTGCCATGAGGATCATGGGCCATGGTCCACATCCCATCCCATCACAAAGCACGTCCTCGTGCCAGGTTCACACAGTTGTCACACTGCTGGACATTACTGATTGTGGTTCTAGTCAAGGGTTATAGCTGGGGTTTGAGTGACAGCTACTACCAGTGAGATAAAAATGACCTCTGACCTTGAGACATTTGTCATCATCCTCGAAAGTCAGAACTGCACTGCAACTGTCTGAATATCCCATCCTGAGTCTGTGGTCAATGAATACATGTAGATAGTTCCTGAACCTTTCTCTTCCATTTTGTCTCCTCCCAGTCCTTAAAAGTTACTCTAATGTAGTTGCAGCTTTGTAAGACAAAAGAGTTCTGAAGATTTGTTGCACAAGTGCAGTAGAGCATATTATTATATATTATTATAGCATATTATATAATATGTTAAGTAAATATACTTACCACTGAATGCACACTTAAAAATGGGTAAAATGGTAGATTTTGTGTGATGCATCTTTAACCACAACTAAAAATATTTTTTTTTAAAGATACTCTAATGTCAGCCTCTGGAAGTCCATGAAGGCACTGATAAAGTAGCAGATTATGCCTCTGCTTATTTTTCTTTCTAAACTAAGAGCTTATTTACTCAATGTCTTCATTAGAAGAGATGTGGTAAGAATTCACCACATCAGAAGAACTTTTTGCTTTGTTCTGTTTACAACCCTAACAATGCACTGTGGGAACTAGCACATGGATCCAAGCACAATACATCAGTTTTTCAGGTTCAACCAGTGCCCTTTGGATATGCTGATGATCTCATCAAGATGGCAGTCATCCCCAATCCTGCTGCCACTGAATTTATTATGCAGCTTGGGCTTCTTTTGGCCTCAGGATTGACATCTGAGCTGGGAGCATGACATTCTAGAGAAGAGATGGGAGATCTCTGGCCTTCAGTGAGATTCCACCCCCTACACAGACACACACACACACACACACACACGCAGGGAGATAACCAAAACTTGGTCAGAGCACTTCATTGCAGGTGCAACAGGAAGCAACACCTTAAAAGGCCACAGAGGAGGAGTGAGTCCAGACCAGGGTTAATCTGTCTCCTGCTGGATTCGCAGCTTGCTCTGTGTCTATGTAGCTTTCTCTCCTGCTCTTTCCCTCTCCTCTAAAGGCCTTAGCTTAGAAATGATACACCAAAGAAGTGCTTGTTCTCTTTATTGTATATAATTTTCTATTCGGCATCATATTTGTTCTCTGTAACAGGAAGAATATTTGCTTCTTTATACTTACATAGCCAACTCAGGCTGTATTTCTGTGTGGGTCAGTGGCCCTCATGTGGAAAAACTTTCCCCTCTCTTGCGCTAAAGGTTCTGAAACCTTGGCCAAGTACCAGAGTCCACAGTGTCACAGCACACAGGACTTGCTGTAGAGGTGGGTGCTGCCTCAGCTTTTGCTCCTGGATTTTAGCCCCTGTTGTGGCCCAGAGGCCATGCAGGGTACAAATGTGGACAGATCTGCTGCTAGAAAGATGCGATGCCACCCAGCTGCATATCAGAACCACTGAGGGTGCTATCAGAAAATGCAGGCTTGGGGATGTGCGTGGGGGAATTTGTATTTTCCAAAGCCCACAGGACTTCTGCTGGAGACCATTGCAAAGAGGCCTGAAGCATTTGGAAAGCAACATCATGATTTTATTTTTTTCTAAGTCACCTTAGAGAGCACCATCCTGAAGAATTCTTGCTGATCTTACAGAGTTTCCCTGTGGAAAGTGGGGAGCCATGAAGAGATTTTAGCAGGGACTAATCTAATTGAGTTCTAGAAAGATCCTTGGGCAGCCATGTGGCAGCTAGATTAGAGATGGGGAAGATGCTTAGAAAGAGACTGTTAGTGAGACTGCAGTGTCCAGATGAGAGATGATAAAGCTGTGGCCCTGGGAATGGAGAACAAAGGACAAGAAGGACAGCAGGCATTTTCAGAAAATAGAGTCCACAGTAAGGATAGAGGACAGTAAGAAGCTAAGGTGACTTGGGTGAACTCACTAAGACAAGGTTTACAGGAGGAGAAGTAAGGATGGGGGCATGTACTGGGCAACACAGAGGCCATATTGAGTGTGAGGTGCCCTTGGGATGTTCAGGTGGGGGTTACCAGGTGGCCTTTGAATATTCAGATTTGGAGCTCTGACACAGGGTCGGGCCGGAGGTAAGTCACCTCCCAACTATACTTCAGAAAGTAAGGATTTCTTCAGTGCTCATAAAGCCACTGATGTCTGCCAGTGCCAGGATAGACTTTCTGCCTATGGAATTGCTACAATCAAAGAAGGTCAAGTATGGTAGGCAGAGAAATGGCTCCTCAAAGATGCCATGTCCTAATCTCTAACACGTGAATATGTTACCTTGCTTGGCAAAAGGAATTTTGCAGTTATGATTAAACTAAGTATTCTGAGACGGAGAGAGTATCCTGAATTATCTGGGTGGGCCCAGGCTAATTACAAGAATCCTTATAAGCAGCGAATCTTTCCTGGCTGTGATCAGAGGGAGATGTGACCATGGAAGAAGAGTCAGAGAGTTGCAACACTGTTGGTTTTGAAGATGGAGGAAGGGGGCCCTGAGCCAAGGAATGTGGGCAGCTTCTAGATGATGGAAAAAGCAAGGAAATGGATTGTCCCCTGGAGCTTCCAGAGAGGAACACAGCCCTGTGAGACCCATGTTGGACTTCTGAACTCCAGATCAGTAAAATAATAACTTTGGGTTTTTTCAAACCTCTAAGTTTGTGATAACTTGTTACAGCAGTACTGAGAGACTAATACACTGAAGACTGATTCAGGTGCCCAGCCTGCCCCCGGAGCCACTGTCAGCAGCCTTACCTTGGTGATACTCAGTGCCGCAATATTCTGGCTAAAGGAGGTGGTGCCGTTTCCTGTCCCCCACGCCCCTGCCAGCAGGCAGGCAAGTCCCTCAATGCCGATGCCACGGTTGATGGCGTGCTTCGGAGGGGGTGGAGCCCCCACCAGCCGGGCACAGGCATAATAATCACCTATTGATTCCACTATCGAGGAGATCACCCCTGCCGTGATGCCAAAGACCCCAGCCAGGCTGATGGTGGGCAGGCCCCACTGTCCTGAAAGGCAATGCAGAGGGAATATTAATCCATAAGACAACAGGCTGCTGAACCCCAAATAATTTCTTTGACAGAGAGGTCTCTGAAAGGCTTTAAAGCCCAGGCATGTCCTCCAACCCCACAGCTTTCCAGAGGCTTTGGCTCAGATCCTGCCCTACCATTCATCCGTGAGGGAGGGTCAGATGCCCTGTCCTTGAGGTCACTGTGCCTAGAAAGAGCCAGCAACAGGGCCTCTTCCCAGGAGGCCTTGGAGTGTTTTGAAGCAGAGATTCTTCATCAGGGAGGGCCTAGTGCCACAGTCCATGAGGGCAGCCAAGCCATCCCTGGAACCTGATTATTTATATGCCCTGAGCCAAAAATTGCAGGGAAAAGAAGACCAGAAGTGTCTTAAGGGATAGTCTTAAACTTGTCTCCTCAGAAATTTCTGAATTCAGTCCAAGGCCTCTCTTGTTGGGGATCCACCAAATCCAGGAGGAGACCCAAAGGCTAGGAGGTCAGGAGCAATGTGGAGGAGGGGCTGAGGGAGGGAGGCCAGCTCAGCGGTAGGTCTAGGAGTAGGACTCCTTGGCCTAGCACCCCCAAAGAATTCTTAGGACAATCCAAGGGTCTTCTTCTTCTTCTCTTAAGTGTCCAATATGGACTCTCTAGAACCTGTCCCTCTTTGTCAGACCCTTGGAGGAGATCCCCCCAGCCCCAGCCATATTCCACTCTCCATCCCATGCCCTGGGCCCCATGGGCAGTCCTGGGAATCATGTGTCCCAGGCAGGAAAGGGCTCCTATTGTCATTACCTGGGTAAGGAAAGCGAAACCAAGGCGCCTGGCTGAGGACGTTGGCTTTGGTGTCGGTGCGGGCCTGGTACCCATAGGCTGTGGGGGCCGCAGGGAGGGCATTGGTGACTGTGAGCACGAAGCAGAGGAGCCATGAGATGCAGAGCGCCAGCAGCACCTGCCGAAGGAGCCACCCTTCACCACGGGTCTCACTCCAGCCTCAGCACCCACCTCCCAGGGGGCGGGGCAAAGGAGAGAGTTCAGGAAAGCTCTTTGAAATGAGGACATGTTGGGTTACTCATCTTTCCAGTGACAACAGGAATCTGGTGTGTCAGTGGATAATTAGCACATTAAGGGAATGTAGCAAATAAACTATGGGGAGACCTTGTGTCAAACAGAGGCAGAAATGTCTGGTAAAGTGGGCACAGCCTGGGTCAGAAGGATTACCCTCCAGCTCCCTTTCCACTGATTGTTGGTCACATGACCTTGGTTCAAACTCTGAGCCTCAGTTTCCTCATCTGTACAATAGAACAACAACCACTGCTCTGCAGAGCCTGAAACAGGATTTCTTCAAGTAGAATCCTGAGATATATTGATTTTTAATCTCTGGTGGCAGAACCTCAGAAATGTGTATTTTTAATTATGCCCCCAAGTGATTCTTAATGCACAATGAATTTTAGAACCACTGGCCTACAGCATTTTTGGAGGAGCAATGAGATCATTGTGGAACTATTTTTTTACAGTGCAAATGTAGTGTACAGTCAAATGAAACCTGCAAACATATTTGTGTGGGTGACAGCGACACATACTTGACAGGGTGGTTCAACAGAGAATTCAACAGGGAAGCCTCTGAAGAGGAAGGTGCCATCCTCATCCGGGGGTATTTAGACTACTCATGAGCCACAGAGAAGAACTTGATCTAAGCAACTTGGCTCTTAGTTTTGTGTAATTAGCAGTGAACCTGGCTGTGTCCCCTGGCACCTTGCTATGAGGACGGCCCAGGGAACGTGAGAAGGCTGTCCCACACTGGAGCCCAGAGCAGCGACCTAGGGCAGGGTTCTCTGCTCCCAGGACAGAAGGATAGAGGTAGGACATGGGATGGCATTCCACCAAGGGTCAGAAAGCGTCCCCACAGGCCACCGGCCTCCTCCCAGCCTCCTTCTCCTTCTTGGGTGGATTAGGGAAGGCTGAGGAGGAGAGGCCACTGCAGATGGGGGGGCACTTGCTTTGGGCGCCATCTGGGAGTGCGAGAGGCTGTGCCTCACTCTCCAGGTGAGTCAACTCAGCACGGAAGGGGGTGGGGAGTGCTTCTTACACAGAAGTCCTGAAACAGGTATAACTTAGAGGTGTGACCCTTCTTCTCTCGTCCATAAATGGGTATGGGCACTGCAACGTTTTTCAGGTACTGAGAAAAGAGCACGATGAGGATGATGGTCCTGAAACAGAAACAAACCACACCCAACTTGGTGAGCTGGGGCTCATCCTGAGTGAGGGTCCTGAAAGCTGGGCCACCACGTGTCTCTGGGATTGGGGGCCGTGGCCAAGCTGGGAGCATCCCCATCTAGACCCCGCTCTGCAGCACGGGCAGCATCCTGCCATCTCTGCAAGGGTGGGCTGTTGCCTTCCAGAAGCTACTGGTGGCTGAGGGGGAGGAGAGGGTAGGGAGGCTGTTAGTCCCTGGGCATTGGCAGCTCAATGGCTCCAGCAGGTGGAGCCAATGAGGCCAGAAGCAGAGAAGGCCTCTCCCAGGTCATTCTGCAGGTCCTTGTGGTCAGACCACAAGAGGCAGAGTGACTGACAGTGTCCAGTGTCACCCCCAAGTCCCTTCAAAGCTCCATCTAAATGCTTAAGGCCTCTTTTTACAGGAAGCCTTCCTGATCCTCCCAGCTGGCTGTCCTCACCCCCTCCCCTGAACCTGCATGTCATTCTACGACTCTCATCACTGTCTCCTGGTGTCATAGGTACGTGGATCTGAGTCTTGTCTCTCTCCCACACACTACAAGATGCTTGAGAGCTGGGGCCATGTCTTTGCAGCCTTCCCAGGGACCAGAAGTTTACAAACATTTGCTCAATGAAAACCTAGGAGGCATGGTACCAGTAGTATCAACTTTTCATGAACAGTACACCAAGTGTTCTTATACACTGCCTGCGATGAACTCACTGTCTGTGAGTACTAATAATGTAATAAATAGTAAGAATAATAAATTAGAAGTAGCAACTTTCCTGCTTCTTAAGGTATCATAATGCTCATGAAAGTATTTCTAAAGCACAAGAGTTTGCCAACAGCCAGGACTCTTACTATTCTTCCTGGGTAATCTTCCACCAAAGAGAACTTGATGCCACTCCCTCCCCAGAGAGTACTTACACAAGGGCAATCCCCCATTGGATCCCGGCGTCATTTCCAGCAGAATGAAAGAGAGGCAGGGCCACCAGGGAGATGGTCGGAGCAACGGTCAAGGGGCCAATGAAGCGCATGAGGAAGCCAATGAGGCCTGTGAAGCCGGCTAGAATCTGGACACAAGAAGCGACCATGATGGCGCCCTGCAACTGAAGAGGAAGAGTGCAACTCAGGCCCCTCACAGCTTGCAGCAGGACAGTGGGCCTCAGCCCAGCCCAGGCCACCATGACAGGCCCAGCTGCTGCAGCTCACTTCTAAATCTGATCAGCCCTAGGTGGTACATTCAGAGGCAGTGCAGGGGCAAAGCTGGACCCCAAAGGAACTGAGGAAAGAAGAGCTCTGATCTTGCTCCTCTTCCAGCTGTGGATTTCCAACGAGCTATTGGACATTTTCACTTAATAGGAAGTTTTTCAGGGAGTAGCCTTCAAAATTATTTATTGATCACAATGATGATGATGATGACTCATAATACCAGCATCACTCAGCAGTGTATCGAATACCTTGCTGCTTTATTTTTCTCTGTCTTCCTACTTTCTATTGTAGGGGTTGGCCATGTTTTCTGAAAAGGAAAAGATAGTGAATATTTTAGACTTTATGGGCCATATGGACTCTATCAAAACTTTTCCAGATGAGCAGTAAGCTAATGAGCCTGGCTGTGTTCCCATAAAACTTCATTACAGGCACTGAAATTTGAATTTCATATAATTTCGTAATGTCATTAAATATTATTCTTCTTTCAATTTTTTTCAACCATTTAAAGTATAAAACCATTTTTAGCTTGTGGGCTCTACCAAAATAGGCAACTGGCCAGATTTGGCTCTGAACTATAGTCTGCCAGCCCCTGATCTCTTGGGCTAATAGAGTTTGCTTTACTTCTCCTGTTTTACTTTACTGGTTTGGATGTTATACGTGCTATTTTATCCCTGAAAAGCTTCCCTGCTTTCAAGTCTACTCTTTCTGAAGGTAACATGGTGACTCCAGCTTTCTTGCAATTTGTGTTCGCATGGTATATCTTTCTCCATCCGTCTACTTTTAATCCATCTGTGTCTTTCCAGTTAAAGTTGGTTTCTTGCAGACACGTATACTTGGATCTTATTTTATGATCCACTGTGATAATCTCTGCCTTTTAACTGATGCATTCAGACCATTGATATTCAAAGTGACTTGAAACAGTTGGATTCATATCGAGCATATTTGTTACTCTTTTCTATTTGTTACCACTTCATAGGTAGTGTATGTTACAATGACAAAATAATTCTAATTTATCCTTCCCATCACTTCTATCATTGCTGTCATTTACTTTATTTATGTATAATCATATGTAAGTACGTAAATAGAAACTACTATGATAATGGAAGGCGAAGTTTAAATTGGTCTAATGTGTTGAAAACTGAACTTGCCATCTCTTCTCATGGTTTTCTACTTTTTCTGCTACCACTATTTCCTTAAAATAGAATCATTGTTCACTTTTACCTCTCCTTTAATTCTTATATCCAGTAAACAATGACATTCCTATTGGTCCTGTATTCACATCACTTTCATCTGTGGCTGGGATTGCGATGGACAATTGGCCTGCCACCATCAGTGGTTTCAAGCCTTGAAAGGTGTGTGGACAAATATGACTCAGCGAAATATAGTGAATGTAGCTTAAATTCTGATAGACTAGCTCAGTGAGTTTAACCAACCAATCAGTCAATTAATAAAATGAGGGTGAAATTGATAAGAACTTTTTTCTCCTGTCACAGCACCGGAGAAAGCATTGGACCAGCAGAGGGAGCTACAATACCACAGAGAAGACTCCGGGTTTGGGCTCACTGTGCTGGACACTTGGAGGTGATGTGGAAAAAGTAGTCGAGACTGTTGTCTGAGCCCTGGGCAGGAGGAAGCCCTTCCCTGCGCCCTGTGTCTTAGAGCATGGGTTGGCCAAGTTTTTCTCTAAAAGGCCAGAGAGTAAATATTTCAGGTTTGGTGGGCCACATGCGGTTTGTATCACATATTCTTATTTTAAACAACCTTTTAAAATGTAAAAACCATTCTTAGTTTGTGGGCAGAAAAAAAACAGACCACAGGCTGGATTTGGCCAAGAGCCATAGTTTTCTGACTTCTGCCTTAGAGGACTCCAGGTATCACAGACATAAAAATAAACAGTAAATGTATTAAAGAAAATATGGTGTCTCTGTCCCTTGGGACGCCGTGCTCAATGCAGGCGCAGCACGACCCATATCTCTAAACATCCACTCTCATGACTAATACTGTTCAAGCCCCAGGTGAATTCTTTCCCGTAACTCTTGCCCAGAGTCCTCAAAACACAGGGTAACCGCTTCTGAATGAGATGATGGTTCGCGCCCTTGCAGTGGTGGAGACAGACGCCTCATCAGAACACAGGGAGGATTTGAGCAGCGGAAGTAAGTGCTCAGGTGGGAGAAGAGAAGGATTCGCCTGTCAGATCTGTCTTCCTGGATAGTGTGAAGGTAACAGATTCTTGCCTAAGGAATTATAGTTCTCAGGAGCTCTCAGTGGAAGGGAAATCCCGCTCCTGGCATCTAGCTGGTCAGGGTAAGGCAACCCAGCTTCTCGTTCTTTGCTTAGTTTTAATCTGGATTTACTAAAGCCAAGTATAGGCTCCCTGGAGGACAGAAAAAACAAAACAAAAAAACCCCTCCATAAACCACATGTGTTCTGTGATTCATTCTATGATGAAATAATAAAACTAGGCTGCACTGAAAAAGAAGTACATCTTGATTTGGAAAAGGTGACACAACCCACAACATTGTGAGATAGTCAATCAACCTGGCAAAAATCCAGGGCCCGCCAGCTTGAGAAGTGAAAGTCTTAACTATATCTTGCTCTGGGATTACATGGAAAAGTTATTTAAAGATTAAAAAGCCCTGTTAACTCTGGGTCCACCCTGAGATCAAAAGGAAGCACAAGGACTTGATGAGGTTATTGAAGTTCACCCACATCTGGGTGCCCTTTTGGACTGCATATGAGAGCACAGGCACGGGTAAAGGGCTGTTTTGGAGAGGGAAGAACAGCAGAAGGTGCTGGCTGAGAGTCACAAGTTCTGGCCCAGACTGTCTACTGTGACCTTACAAGTCAGTGCTCCCTGAGGGATCGGAAGTGTTGGTGGTGGAGTCCGTGCTGAATGAGGACTGTCTGGGATAGAAGCCAGATGCTTCAGCTCTGCCGTGGGGCTTTTGGTGCCGATGCAGCCTGGAGGAACCACCAACCACTCTCCCACTGAAAGACCATTGCTAACTCGTCTTCTACCGGGCGCTGTTTGGAATTGGACCATTACTGAGTGTCACCAAATAACTCTGAGGTCAGAGATCCCAATCACATTTTGAGTGATGTCAGAAAGACATTCAAATAAAGAAGGGGCTGATCAGCAAAATTTGCTGATGGAAGGGAAATAATTATATTCAGGAAAAGACAAAGCAGTTACGCCGGAGGGGTTCATAGGATCCATAAGCAAGTAACAGTCCCCTCTCCCCTGGGGTGGACACCACCTCACAAGATAATCTAACTCTAGCAACACAGACTTGGATGCTGCCAGTGGTCCGAGTTATGTGTCATGTGACTGACTGCACGCATAAATACCTGGAATTATCCCTATGTAATTATATAGATTCTTGGACCGTGGCCGATGGTCTAGCAGTTTGGTCTGGCAAGCGGATCATAGAAAGCTCAATTGAAATTTCACCTTTGTAGGATAGGACTTTATACTCAAATTTCCATTACTGGTGGTTCATGTTGATGCCCCTCAGTCTTAAAAAGAAGAGGGAAGTATGATTTCGAATGTAGTCACTAGGCCCAGGAGATAACACCTTGGGCCACAAGCCAGACACATGTGAGCTCACAAACAATATAATCCTCATCTCCATCTGAAGTCGCTTATGTGGCCCAGGATGATCCACATTGCCAACAGCAGTGGGCACATGTGCCTTTGGTGGGAGAATATGAGGATATATGGCCCATAGCAGAGCTGGCAGGCTGCCTATACTGGACATTTCACAGAGCATGGGAGATTCGAATGTTTTTCAAACTGGTGTTGACAGTGTTTCTGGTTTGAGCTTTGCCTATTTATTCTGCAAGTGAAGCCCTGGCCCAGACTACTATAAAAAGGCTGGTGACCCAGATTGACCAACATGAATATCAACTTTCTATCTAACAGCTTAAGGATCACTTTTCACAGCCTGAACAGGACAGGGGTGGACCAAGAAATACAATATCAAATGGTCTTTTCGTGTTACATATCACTTTGCAAAAGCAGTGAAATTATTGCAAAATTAGAATGTGCTTGAAACAACAAAGTGTATGTGACAAAAGCATGATGGCTGGCTTTCTAGGCTAGGACAGTGCGAGATGAAGCTAAACATGTGGAGCACAAAAGTGAGTCACCGGTGGAGCAGGTCCTAAAGGTCGGGTTGAGGAATGAATGGGTAAAGAAGCCTTATTTTCCAAGGACTAGGGGTTTGGTCGTGTTCCCTAAGATAGAAATAATAGAAATCAATTTCCTTTGACTTGGAATTCCGATGGTATTTATGAGCTGGATTGGAGAGTCTGGTGTTTTCACGACACATGCCAACCAATGGAGAGGATCCAGTGACAATATACTTATTAAATCATTTGAAAGTAACTTAGGGAAGGTACTTGGGGAAAGTACTTGGGGAAGAACACAGAGGAAGGTTTAACAGTGTTACTTTTGCTGCCCACTGTTTAAAGGATAGACAAGAATGACTCAAAATCTCCTCTTCCAACAGGAGCAAGGGAATGGGCTAAGAAAGGCTCTCAGTGGGCAGAAAGAAAGATGGTGGCAGAAAAAACTGGATCACCAAATTACTGTTTCAAATAATGCTCCTTTGTCCTTTATATCTAAAATCAGTTGGAAATAAGAAAATGATTTCTTAGCAATATTGCTAGATACATCTTCAGTCTGGGATGAGGGATGCTAGCACCAGAGTTGATTCCACCAAACTGAATCACATCTAATGAAACTGGACCCAGAGTATACTAGGCTGTACTGGATGGACAATAAGGAATAAACAATGTGAAAATAGCCAATTACTACCATGATACCGGAATATTAGGACATGATCTGTTGCTTGAACTTGTTCTGTTTTTTAAACATACTTTAAGATTAAGATGGGTCGTGGACTAAATATGAAATATGTGAGTGTTTCCAAGTTAACCTATTTTCACTCTCCATCCATTCCACCCCAATCCTTCTCTTGCTCATCGCTCTGTTTTATTTTCTTCATTGCACTTATAACTTCATGAAACTTTCCTTTTTCTATTTACTTGTTGGAGTATTTCTCTCCCTCCTACTCTGCACTGCTACATACACACACTAGAATGTTAGCTCCAGGAGGGCCGGGCCCTTCTCTGTCTTACCTACAGCAGTATCTTAAAGCCGGGAATCTTGCCCAGCCGTGAGCTGAACAATGAATGTTGAACAAAACAGTCAACTGGGGAGCCCCTGTTGAGTACTCCTCCCTTCCTCCCACCTACCTCCCCTGCTCCATTACCTCTCGGATCCTCTTCTGCCATTCCTCGGTGAATTCAGGAGAGCTGGTGTTCACCTGGCTGGCATTGACTGTCCACTCAGGGCATTTCCAGGCAGGAAGGGACAGCATGGCCAGGGAGGGCGCCACATAAGCAAATGACCCTCCCTGGAGAATAGGCAGCCTGGAGGAGGGGAAAGGACGCAGTTACCCATAAGATCCTTTAGTACTAGTCTGTCACTGACCCCAATGGGGGTCTTTTAATCCCAAGTCCTACATCAATTTCCAGGCAATGCATGACCCCTGTTGTTCTCAGTTTACGAGGAACTCCCACCAAGCTCCAAGTCAGACCTATGAACTCTGCTACACTTTGGACAGGTAGGAGAGGTGGGGAGGGGAAAGACAAGCAGACCTAACCCCCGTCCTGTTAAGGCAAGCCCAGAAGGAGAATGTTAGGTGCTGGGAAAAGGTCTGGAGACAGCACAGAGCTCAGCAAACACAGGTGGTGGGTGCCGTTGTCTACCCCAGTCCCAGAGAATCTTCCCTGGACCAAGGATCAAAGCACAGCTCACACATGTGGAGTTCCCCACTGACAAGAGATGCACAGCCTAGAGTCTGGGTTGCCAGAGTCCTCTGTGTCTTCAAACTGAGCAGCAGACCCAGACCTCCACCTTCAGGCTCCTTTTGATCACATGGACAGGAGAGGACAGAGGTCAGTTGTCAGGGCGTGTCCCCCATCCAGGCCCCTCTCACTCCTGGTCGGTGTCTCACTCTGGCCTCTGTGAGAACTTCTAGCAGCGCCTCCCTGGCTTGTCCTCCCTTCAAGGTGAACACGGCCTCACAAGTCAACCTCCACCAACCCTCTCTTACTAGAGGTCAGAAGCTATTAAGTCTGCCCGCCCTGGATGCTAGAATTTGGAGGAGTGGGGATGGAACAGGGGTACCCCAGCCTCTTGATTGCATTTGTCAGCATGGCCCACCCTGGTCAAGCACTTTTTCTTAACAATACTAGCTGGGTATTTTTGAACTCAGGATTCCATGAAGACAGCTTAAAGGATTATTCTGGAGAATGACTGAACGCATTTTATATAATAAAATATAAAGTATATGAAAGAATTTTGCGGCCTAGGTGGCCTTTGTGTCCTGGCTGAACATTGGAATCAGCGATGCCTGGACATCACCCTCAGACAAGTTAATGGACTTGTCTAGGAGCGCGCCCTGGCAGGACGAGTGCATAAGCTCCGGGTGATTCCAAGGTGCAGCCGGGGCCAAGAACAACTGATTTAGATGCATAAATCTAGACCCATAACGCTCCAAAATAGAATGGAATGCATTGCACACACAGGGCAGGAACACACGGGAGGTGGTATGAGTATGTGTGAATAACTTCTTTTAATTTAAAAATTCTGGGGCCGCCCGGTGACGCAGCAGTTAAGTTCACACGTTCCGCTTCTCGGCGGCCCAGGGTTTGCCGATTCAGATCCCTGGTGTGGACATGGCACCGCTTGGCAAAAGCCATGCTGTGGTAGGCATCCCACATATAAAGTAGAGGAAGATGGGCACGGATGTTAGCTCAGGGCCAGTCTTCATCAGCAAAAAGAGGAGGATTGGCAGTAGTTAGCTCAGGGCTACTCTTCCTCAAAAAATAAAATAAAAACAAAAATTCTGAATCTAAGTATCTTGACAGAAAAGGGAAACACGGTATACTTTGATCACAGCAAACTTCCTTTTGAGCTTTTAAAATTAACATAGACATCTTTATATAAAGGTATAACCAGAGAGTACATAATATAGGACTTGTGTTTTAATTCTTTGCGTAATTCTCTATGCACATTTCATTCATTCAACAAATGTTCTTTGAGGACCTGCTATGTGTCAGGCACAAGGTGCCCCAGGTTTTGGGGACACCATGGTGAGGGAGACAAAGCTCCCAGTGCTATTCTGGGTACGCATTTCTGTTAGTCCTCGTACTAACTAACCATGTATAGTGACTGACTCTCAGGGATTGCTTTGAACACCTTAGCAAGCACTTTCAGGGAGGCTTACACACACCCCACCACGTTAGTGTGCCCCCTCTGCCTCAGCCCTTTCGGTATTACTGGGTTCCATGAGGGCTGGGATTCAGTATTTTTCTTTTCCATCCCTCCAGCGCTGAGCCTGGTGCCACAAAACAACCTGCCAACACTGGGTTTTATCATTCATATTTTTAGTTTAGTAGGCGTGTAATGAAACCCTAACAAATGTTAATTGGCATTTCATTAAGCCATAAAAGATGTGCACTCATTCATGTGATTTCATGTCTGCTTTCTTTGCCTATAAGCTGTCTATTCATTACACGGAAGTTGGATACTGTCAAAATATATTTATAGTAATTCTTTATTTATGATAGTGAGCTTCGTTTTCATTTTTAGAAAGTGTTTTCTGTTATTGTATGCAGGAATTCATCTCTAACTCAGAAATTATTTAAGGGAGTATTTCAAAATTTTCAAGTGACTGAGAACTTTTCTAACTCTGTTCATGCTATTTTCTTTCAAGATTATCGCATGTAGTTGGGATAATATGATATGGACTTTCTGCCTTTTTGTAATTGATAGATACCTTTTATGTTCAAAATAATTTTTTTCCATTTATTTGCTTCACTGTATTATCATGTCCTACCTTTAGTTTCACACAGTATATCAATAAATTCTTCCCTCATTCTTCAATACTCAGACTTTCTAACTCCATTTTCCATTCATTCTTCTCTCTATCCTCACCTCATTTTGTTAGCATTCCCATTTCTTTCCCATAACTTCTTATTGGTACCCTTTGATATAATGATATATAGATAGATAGATAGATAGATGGATAGGTAGATAGAGAGATAATGGATGGATAGATAGATAGAGAGATCTATATGTACTAATTGCGTTTCTGCTAGTTTTTCTATTGTAAACTTTCCTGGTACCTGTTTGGGATATATACACTCAGTATCATTAATCGGCTTTCATTGTTCAGCATATCTCTTTCCTTTCGTGATGATCTTAATGTGTATCTCAGTGCTCTTTTAAATTTCATATTAATTTCATGTGCTACCATGATGGCAACTCCTTTTTTTTTGAAATTTGCCCATGCGTATGATTCACTATTATTATACATGTGCCTTCCAAATTAAATGTCTCTTCTGTAAACCATAGATGTTTGATTAAAAAACTCAGCATCTTTGAACTAGAAGACCCTGTGAAATGTATCCAGCCTGCCCTTGTCATTTTATAGATAGGGAATCTGGGGCTCAAGTTCACAGAGTTAACCAGGGTTAGTCCTTGGGTCTCCTCACTCATCGTCACTGCCCTATGACACCGATTAAGAGCACGGTATAGAGCAAAGGTGAATTTGAATCTGGCTCTACTTTATTAGTGTGTGACCCAGGCATGTTGCCCAACTTCTGCATTCTCAGTGTCTTCTTTGATAAAATAAAGATAACAGTACCCTCCCTAAGGAGTAGCTGTGAAGAAAAAAATATATGAAAATGCTCAGCCCAATGCCTGAGGCATAGAGAGCTCAATAAATAGCAGTATTTGTCATTGGTACTCCCTCTGAAATGTGTGGGTACTTCCTGAGAAGGTAGTGCATATCAGGACATTTTCTTTACGTTTGCCCTAAATAGCAGATTTTATCACGTAAGCTTGTTTTTCACTGTTGTTTGGCATTATTTCTTGCAGGTTTGTTCTCTAAGATTTGTCTTCTACAATCCTTATTTTCTTTTGTGTTGTTGGACTCCAGGTGCTTACGCTGGTCCAAGGCTGCATCTCTACATCAATGACCTCTTGCTCTGTGGCATCCACTCAGCGCCTCAGATAGCACGGCCTTACCTGCACAGCGCTCCACAGTTTTCACTTTACTCCTCTGTGTTGTTTCCTCTGGTCTAATTCTTAAAGTAGACAGTGTCTGTCTACTTTAGGTGCTCATGTTAACATTTAAGGGTCAATGTCTAAATAGACTTTAAATCAAAAACTGTAATAAGAGACAAAGACGGGCACTACATAATGATAAAGGGAACAATCCAACAAGAAAATATAACACTTGTAAATATCTACGCACCCAACATAGGAGCACCTAAATATATAAAGCAATTATTAACAGACATAAGAGGAGAAATAGACAGTAACACAATAATAGTAGGGGACTTTAACACTCCACTTACACCAATGGATAGATCATCCAAACAGAAGATCAATAAAGAAACACTCGCCTTAAAGGACACATTAGACCAGATGGACTTAGTAGATATATACAGAACATCCCATCCAAAAACCACAGAATACACATTCTTTTCAAATGCCCATGGAACATTCTCCAGGAGTGATCACATATTAGGCCACAAAACAAGTCTCAATAAATTTAAGAAGATCGAAATAATACCATGCATCTTTTCTGACCACAAAGGTATGAAACTGGAAATCAACTACAGAAAGAAAACCAGAAAAGCCATAAAAATGTGGAGATTGAACAAAATGCTACTGAACAATGATTGGGTCAATGAAGAAATCAAAGAAGAAATAAAAAAATTCCTGGAGACAAATGAAAATGAAAACACGACATGCCAAAATCTGTGGGATACAGCAAAAGCGGTTCTACGAGGGAAGTTTATAGCACTTCAGGCCTACCACAACAAAGAAGAAAAATCCCAAATAGACAATCTAAAAGTGCACCTAAAGGTATTGGGAAAAGAACAACAAACAAAGCCCAAAATCAGCAGAAGGAAGGAAATAATAAAAATCAGAGCAGAAATAAATGAAATAGAGACTAAAAAAACAATAGAAAAAATTAATGAAACCAAGAGCTGGTTCTTCGAAAAGATAAACAAAATTGACAAACCCTTAGCTAGACTCACCAAGGAAAAAAGAGAGAAGGCTCAAATAAATAAAATCAGAAATGAAAGAGGAGGGATTACAACGGACACCTCAGAAATACAAAAGATAATAAGAGAATACTATGAAAAGCTATATGCCAACAAATTGGATAATCTAGAGGAAATGGATAAATTCTTAGAAACATACAACCTTCCAAAACTGGACCAAGAAGATGTAGAAAATTTGAATAGACCAATCACCAGTAAGGAGATCGAAACAGCAATTAAAAACCTCCCAAAAAATAAAAGTCCAGGACCAGATGGCTTCCCTGGTGAATTCTACCAAACATTCA